TGCAAAAGAAACAGCATCACCATTCTTAGATGCATCAACTATGGCAAGTTTGCCATTGGAGGATTTGGAGGATTCAGACGCCATAGTTAGTAAGAAAGCTCTGATACCATATTAAGGTTCAGAGAAAAGAGAGAAAAGGATGAAAAGGAATTCTTGTATTCTTATATATTATGATAAGAAGTGATACAGAGTTCTTATATACAAAAGGTGAATAGAAGATAAAGTATATACACGTGTCTAGCTAATAACCGTATAATTGCTTATAATGACAGCACACATGACACTAATCAGATGACATAATTATATTCTCTAACACCTACTACATGAAATAGCACGATAGAGTTCAAGAAAGTCCATTTTTATTACCACAGAATTACAGCTGAATTTGGACACAATGTGAGTGGCTTTTTGGAATGCTAAAAGCTCAGACATGAAGCTTGAATCCCCCTCTACTTGATCTTGCCACCCTTTAATGAACTGACCTGAACTATTTTGAACTCGAACTCCAATGGCAGCTTTCTTTATAGAGCCTACAAATGCCGCATCACAATTAATCTTGATAGATCTAGTAGTAGGAGGTATCCAGTGATTCTAGAAAGATTCATATGCAGCAAGCGACCGAGGAAAGCTATTACAGTTAATTCGCCAATATTCATCAACGGCTACACTAGCTAGTAGAACTAATAACATGTAGAGGGTTCAAAGTTGCAGTAGAGGAGATCGATGCAGATCTAGTCCTCCAAATATTCCAACATAGACATGCTAAATAAGTCTTATCATTGTTCTTAAGTAGGCAATCATCAAGCAAAAAAGAGCAGCACCAGGTCTCAAAAGAAGAAATATGCAATGGGTTTAAAAGAGAAGTTAAATGAGAGCCAAGCCATATCTTGCAAGACCATTCACAGGGCAATAGCAAATGTTCAATTGTTGCTGGGTGATCCTTACATATGGGACGTAGTGGATCAGCAGCGTATTTGCAAGAGAAAAGATCCTCTTTTGCCACTACTGAATGAGTCAGCGCCCTCCAAAGGAAGTGACGGATTTTTGAATGGATCTTCAAAGCCCATACTTGCTTCCATAATGCATTTGGAGAGGTTGAGGAGGTTCTAAGGGCAGTGGCAATCACTAGATGTTGACGTGCATATTCAAGTCTACAGCCAAGTTTTGAAGAGTATTTCGCGTTGCCTATCCATAGCACAACATCATCAAAAGAGCAAACAAGAATATGAATTTTCATGATACTGTCCATAGTTTCCTTAGAGGCCAAATTATGGATTGGAGATAAGCTCCAAGCCCCGTTGAAGATAATTTCAGTAACTTTCATCTTCTGATTATCAACAGTGTTGTACCTGTGTTTTGGATGACTTAAAGCTGGGCATACTCGGAATCCACTGATAAGTTTAAACCCCTATATCTCGCCCAGTTCCCTCTCTGTAACAGATATTTTGAGCAGTAAATCTCTTCCTACTAGAATGCTACTCTAGGCCTATAAAGCTTTGGGACCTTGGCTTGCATGTAGAAAAGGACATGAGGGTTATTTAGCACAGCTTTGAGAACTTGAACCCCTTGTTGATGAGGGTTATTTAGCATCCTCCATGAAGTTTGTGTTAATAAGGTTTCATTAAATTATTCATCAAGTCACGGAATCCAAGCCCCCCTTGATGTTTAGGGGCACAAAATTTGTCCCAAGCCTTCCAATGAATATTGTTCCTAAAGTCAGATTGACCCCAAAAGAAGTTAGCTATAAGACTATCAAATTCAGTACAATTTTTTTTTTTTGGAAATTTAAAACAAGTAATGGGAAATATGGGCATGGCATTTATAGTTGACTTGATCATAATTTCTTGAACAACAAAAGTGAGGAATTTGTTCTTCCAGTTATGAATTTTCTTTCCCACTTTGTCTCTAACATAAGCCAGAGCTGCCAATTTTGAGCGACCCCACAAAAGTGGAAGTCCAAGGTAGGAGCTTGGGTTTTCTACAGTATTAACATGCAAAGAAGAAAAAACCTCTTCTTGAATAGCTTGTGAAGTATTGGTAGAGGAAAAAAGAGACGACTTGTCATAATTAGTTCGCTGACCTAAGGCATTATAGTAGGATTGAAGGAACTCTGTAATTCTGCTGCAATTTTTCGTGTCAGCATGCAGAAACAGCATTGTATCATCTGCAAACAGGTAATGCGTCAACATGGGGCATTCCTCATGAATTTGGATGCCTATGATATCACCATTTTCAGCATGAAAACTAAGCATCTAGGAAAGAATCTCACTTGCCCTTATGAAAAGATAGGGAGCGCAACAGATTTGTCAGAAATCTAAATGATAAAAACAGGACACATTGCACATTCATAATCCAATTAACCCAAGTATCGCAAAAACCCATTTTTAATAGGACAGCTTTAATAAAATCCCATCCAAGACGGTCATAATTTTCATTCATATCCATTTGAAAGCAAAATAACATTCAGCACCAGTTCGCATCAGTTTCAGAAAATGAAAAACTTCTCACACCTTGATTATGTTATCATGAATGAGCCAACCAGGAACAAAAGCACGCTGATTGGGAGATACACACTCATTCAGTACTCCTTTAAATCGATAGGCCAGAATCTTGGAGAGGACTTTAAAAGCAAAATTGCAAAGACTAATAGGCATGAATTGGCTAACCATCTCTAGACATTCAATTTTTGAAATAAGAACTAGATTAGCAGCATTCAAAGTACCCGGATCCTCATCCTTAAATAAAATATTGTTAAACAAAGAGTCATTGACCTCTTCCCAAGAAGATTGGTAGAAGTGCCCGTTAAATCCATCAGGCGATGCTTTTGTCGCCCCTAGTTGAAGGGTAGCCTACTTGAGCTCTTCTTTGGTAATTGAAGAAGTGAGCCAATTGTTTTGAGCTTCAGTAATGCAAGGCTGAACATAGGATAGAACTAAGTCCAAATCTTTCATTTTTTACTTTTGGTAAATAAATTCTGGTATAAATCAGAAACTAAATCAACAATTTCCTGTTCTTTTTCAAACACTATACAGCATTGTTTCTCAGTTTCACTATCTGGTTTCTTCGCCTTCTAACTTTCGTGGGATTGTGGAAAAATCTAGTGTTAATATCCCCAACTGAGACCCAATTTACACGAGAACGCTGCCACCAATAAATCTCCTCTTGTTTCCATAGTTGTTCAAGTTCCCTTCTGAGATGTTGAACCTCGGCTCTGCTATCATTAGTATATACCCTATCTTTTAAGTTTTCAATCGATCTAAGAACCTGTTCCATCGCCTTTTTGTTATTGGGGAAAGCTTTTTGTCTCCAAGAAATTAATTCACGACTACAGCGCTTGGTACAGGTAACAAATTGAGGCACTAGCCAGGAAGAGGGGTCCTCGATGAACCAAGATTTCTTGACAACTTCTTTGAACTCCGGATGAGAAGCCCAGTTAATCTCATACTTAAATGAACAAGGAGCTAAGTCTTTTTATCTTGCAAGGATAGGCATACCAGGAGGAAGTGATGGTCAGACGCTACGGAATCAATGTGAATGGCCAGCCACTTAGGAAAGAATCCCCTGAAGGCAGAATTGGCCATAGCTGTTAGAGCAATAACCTTTGATAGATATAATAGTTTGTTGATTTTTTCCTCTATTTGTCTGTTCTGTTTAATCAACTCAACTAGTATGTTCTAGCATTTTTCGCTCAAGAATTTTAGAAAAACAAAATGTGTTATTTTTCTTAGCAACATTTTTTTTATCAGGACACGGGGCAATAGGCCAATAGCCCAAACAGAAACAATTTTTTTTCCTTAACAACATTAATTTAGAATGAATGTAGGTTTCAAGAAATTTACCTCCCCAATTCCTTGTGCTGATTTGTTCTCTTGCTTGTGTATTTTAAGCTGTTCTGAGCCAGAAAATATTTTAAAATAACAAACTATGAAGATATACAAAAAATCGAGAAGATGTATTCTGTATTTGGCAACCCAATCACGATGGGATCTTCGTAATGCTGGGAATCAAAACACAGAACTAATCGATCCAAATATTTTACCACAAATATAGATTTAAGCAATTAAATGATGGTCACTATAAAGAAAATCTTCATCAAATAGTTATGATATAGGTGAGGGCGATCAAATCAAACGTTATTTATCCATATATACGAGTTTATTGCAAGGAGATAACACAATATATCATCTAATTGATCTAAGATTTTGGATATTGCCTAAAGATATTGAAAATAAATTTTATGATTGAGGCACATCCGATTTCAATTATTCTAGTCTTTCATTTATTTAAAATTATTATTATCTTCATATTTATTTTGAGTCCCTACAATTTGTTTATATTTTGTTATTGATTCTTGTATTATTTTTTTTAATGTTTTAGTTCCTTACATTTTTATTTTTCATTTATGTTCCTCCATGAATAAAGCATAGAGACTAAACCATTGAAAAAAAGTACAGCAACTAATACCAAAATGCAAAAAAAGTGTAGAGACTTAAAATTATATTTTTTCTTTAAGATTCATATAATTTTCAACTCTTTAATTATATGGTTAAGGTTCATGCCTATATTTAATTATTGAAAAAAATTGCTGTTGATTTTCCATCCTTTGAATTTCTCTCTTCCCTATCTAATTTTCTACTCTATTTCTACCTCTAATCTCTTTCCCCATTCGACATCACTTTCTCTTCGTTTTTTTCATCTCTAACCGAGTTTTTACATATTCTATAAACATTCTAGGAGGTACAATTTTTTGTTTCTCGTGAATTGATGTTACATGTATGCCTGAGTTCTTTGTTCTTGCTTTCCCTCTCTGATTTTCATTTTGGCCAATTTGTAATGTCTGCTGCTCCTTCTAATATCTAAAGTTTCCGCCATGGTCAAAAAAATTTCTTCTATCTCTAAAAGAAGGCTAAGATTGTAAGCATTGTTCCTGGGTATATACGTTATATTTATGATACTTTTGTTTGATGTGATTGCTAGGTAAACACAACAAGTTTGGGGATATGGAGGATACAACCAAAGGCATAATAAAAAATCCCAGAAGCAATACTAAGTTTGAAGATCTTCCTCAACATCTCATCCACCACATGATGATGCATTTTCTCCTTTACAAGGACGCAACGAAGTTGAGTGTTTTATCCAAAGCCTTTCATTCTTTGTGGCTTTCCTGTCCTGTACTTCACTTTGACTACAAATTCTTTGAACAACACGAAGACCCACATGACAGCTTCAAGTCTTTCATCCTCAAAACCCTCCACCTTCGTCGTCCTCAAGGGCCATTGCGAAGGCAAAGCGTAATTTACCCTAAAGGGAATTCCACCTTCAATATGGTATTTGATGCGTTGCTGCACTTTGCAATAGAGAACAACACTAAAGAGATAGTCTTTTATATGAGTACCAATCACAGCATCAATGTGAGATACGACTCCCTTCTTCGTCTAATTTCTTCACAATGCTTGACTGTGCTCAACCTTGAAGGATTTATTAAATTTCCAATTGCTGATCTTATCATACTGTGCCCAAGATTGAAAGAGCTAGAAATCACGAGAAGCGAAGGACTGCAAACTGTAACAGTTTCATCTTTGTCTCTGGAGAAGGCATGCATCTGTCATTCTTTAGAGTTAAACGAGTTAAAAGAAGTTCATTTGAAGGCAAAGAATTTACGGTATTGCTCGTTTGTTGACCTTCCCCACCCTTGTGAAATCAACTTATCTGCTTGTGAATCCATAAAAGATATATATGTATGTGGTGTAAAGGTCACGAAGAACTTGATAGAATTAGTCACTGGGAGCTTGAACATCAGTGAGTGTGACTTTCCTGAGAACCTGAGTATTCATAACCCTAGAATTAAAGAGTTGCAGATGATGAGAAATAATGTTAAAAAAATGGAGCTCTTGACTCCCAATCTAGAATATTTTCGCTCCTATATGTCTTTCGAAGGACAAAGACGGGCATTATACAATATATCAGCATGTGTGGCGCTCAAGGTTTTGGACTTGGATGGAGTAACTGGTGAGTGGGTGAGGAGTACAAATATCAGAGTTAGGTTGTCTGAAAGAACTGACGTTAAGTCATTGTAATGCGTTAGAGAAGATGGAGCTGAAAAATGACAAGCTTGAGAAGTTGTCATTGAGTGCATGTTCCAATTTGAATGAGGCCATTGTTGATGCGCCAAACTTAATCAATTTTTGCTATGAAGAATGCCCAATAATCATGCTGCCTGTTTATCCGATCGTGAAAATTTTATCAACCAAATGTATTTCTGCCGAAATCAAGTTACCAACTCGCTACAATCTTATAGATACTCACTCATGTTTGGTAACATTATGGAGTTTCTCTCTTGATTTGATCACATCACAGACCTCACTATTACTTGCTTCTACGCAAAGGTACTAATCATTTCTCTTATCTTCAAAATCTATTGCAGAAATGTGGGTTTTTTTTTTAAGTCTTTGATCTCGAGAATGCACGACGTCTTTTTTGGTGATTCTTGATATAATTTGCATTTTTAAAATTCATGTGTGTATATATGAAATAATTAAAATATGTGCATTTAGAAAACAAAAAATAATCTCCTCCAATTGGCTGTTTTTATTAAAAAAAAGTTAGTATTTGAAATCTTAAGTTGCTTTGCTTTTGTTTGATTAATTTCCAGGATTTGACCTTTCCAAGAGAGTTTATGAAAAATAATACATCTCCATTGCGTGATCTGAAGCATATTAGAGCATAAAGTACATATTCTATAGGAAATCAGGGTACTATGATGAAATTACTGAAAAGTTTACTTTGGTTGGCGCATAAACCTTGGACACTTGCAATCTCCAAATACTGTTCCCGACCTAGCACCTTGAAGGTATCTTTTATGAAACTTTTGTTTACTTATCTTTATCAATCTCATCCAATGAGTGTTCCAGGTGATATTATAAGAAAATACCAAATCATAATTCTGTATTTTTTGTGTCCTTCACTTTAATCCAACCATTTATATGACTGCTGTGAAATAAAAAGATTGAAATTTATCATCATAAAATTACCCTTTAGCCAATGTTGTTAAAGGCGCTCGCCTCAACACCCAAGGCATGAAGGCAAAGTGTTCAACATGGCTATTGTTTGAGTTTAGATAGTTGGAGTTGACTGAGACCGAGCTGTTACCTTTAACTGGAATTGGATCACTAATTTTGACTAAGATTAGACTGTTGACGTCATTTGAGTTACTTTTAAGTTTAAACATAAAATTTGAAATTTGAAACTTTATTTAAAATTCAAACGAAAAATTTTAATATTTCAATTTGAAATTTTTTATATCATCTAAATAAAGTATTTAGAATCTATAAATTTCAAATGTAAAATTTTAAATTTAAATTGTCAACCCAAATTCATCAATCCAAATGCAATCTAAGATTATAGTGTGGTCACTTATTGGGATTTGGCATACCCATGGAACCCAGATGAGAAAACTACTACACGCCTTCGCCCATATATACAATCACGTACTTTAATTGAGAAAGTCTTACGAACAGAAACGGTGGGAAGACCAATGATCACACAGCTTCATTTGAGATTTGAGAAACTGGTTTTTGAGCATGTTTATTGGGAGGCTCGTGAATGTGCTAGTACTTGGATTGCATGCAAGATATATATGTTGATGCAATTTCATATGTCAACTCATCCTGCTTTAGGAAATATTAGATTAGATAAAAAGCATTAATTGGCATTGATTTGAATAATGTGGCAGTTTGAATATGATAAGAATGTGAAGAGGAGAAAGATTGAAGAGACATGCTGTTCTGGGATTTCCACTAAGTGCTGGCGACACTATAAACTCAAAGTGCACATTCAAGGCTTTGAATCTGTGAGAAGTGACTTGGAAGAGTTCTTTGCTCCTTACATGCGCTGATTTTGATTTCTTTTATGTTTAAAATGTTAGCTTTCTTTGATGACCATAATATATTTCAAATGTCACGAGCACAAATCTAGAGGGAGGGGGAGAGAGAGAGTTTTTTTTTTTTTGAAAAAAAAAAATCGCTTGTTTAATTGAACTTATAAGACCCTATTTCACTTTGTGAGATTTTGAGGACTCATAACATATTAAGTCTTTTGGAATTGCTTTATAACTTCTTGTTATTTATATGGAAGCATATGTAATTCATATATATATATATATTAATTATAACTTAAATTACTATGATAAGTTGTATTATTCACGAAGGTAGTTGTAGCATGCAAATTAAAGCATGTGGTTCATCTATTCAACACGTTTTATGGACTAAATCATGTTTAAAATTTGGGGAAGAAACTTTACTTTTCCTCCATATTATATTTTTCTTTTTGGTTAATTAGAATTATACAAGTACATCAAACTATGACAGGACACGTAATTGAGCACCTTTTCTTAAGCAGTTCTTGTCATGCAATTGAAAAACTAGTTTTTTTTATACGGTGATCAGAGTAAGATAACTTTGATGAAACAACAATCATCTTACTATTGCAGACAATATTTCTTATACCATCGGGGAGGAATTTCTAAGTCGTTATCGGTCTTGCCACCACGATGTCCACAAGACTTCAGTTTTTTTTTTTTATAAAAAAAGTTATGTAGATATGTCTACTTATATAACAATTATTTTAAAAAATATCACATGTAAATTTTTTTATTTCATTTTTTTATAAGTGATGTAAATTAGTGGAGTAAAAACTATTTTTTACAGTATAGTGCCTCTATTGTTCCTTGAAATATATATATATATATATATATAAGGCAGGTCCACAAATGAGAACGAGTTATAAGCTGTCACGATATTCTAGTTGAGATCAGTTACATTGTTTTGGAATTGAAATGCGTAATACTAACGGATGAGATGGTGAGGAGTACTCTGTGTGTATGTGTGTATATATATATATCAAAATTAGTAGGTTTTCTCAAGGAACTGGCAATAGGTTCTTGCGACATGTGTTGAGAAAAGGTGGAGTTCAAAAAAAAACAAAGTTGAGATGTTGTCACTGAGAAAATATTCCAATTTAAAAGAGGCAATTATATATCGATGCAACAAACTTACTAGAATTTAACTATAATGGAAGCCTGCAAGTTTATAACATGCAAATTTTATCAACTAAGTTTAGTAGTGCCGAGATTAAATTACCAGAACGCAACATAGATTCTGTCTTGTGGTTTGGTAACGTGAAACAGTTTCTCTCTTGCTTTCATCCCCATTGTGCAATCTGAAGCATATGAAAGTGGAAATCATGGGTAATCTAAAAGCTCCAACTATGACGAAATTAGTGGAAAGTCTGCTTTGATCGGTGAATTGACATTTTTCACCTCTTCTACTTACAATCCTTGCTTTGATGATATGCTTTAATAAATTTTTATTTATCCATGTAATTATTATTTTTTTCACCGGCTTCACCTATCTAATTATCAACCTATATATAAATATATAACATCACTTGCTATTAGAAGACTACTACTCTTATTTCCCCATACAGTCATGTAGTTTGAGAATTGCTTGCTATAACTTTTATTTGATATATAACCTTCGATCCATCTGATTAAACTATAAAAATCATAACCTGCAAACTTTTTTGGTTTATAGTTTGGTTCAATTTTTAAAACGTTGATATGTTGTTACTATTATTGTAATTAAATTGCTATTTTTAATTATATACTAATTATTTTATGTGCCAAATTATAAGATAATTTTGGAGGAATTTGTTGTCCAAAAATATAACATAATTTGAGAAAAATAAGATTTTACTAATAATACTTTTTCAATAATACTCTTTTAAGTGGAGAGAGAATTAAAATAATATTATAGCATAATGTTTAAGTGTATCGAGATATTTTTGAATATTTATAAAAAAAAGTTTGTAAGATGTTGTTATTGAATTTTATTTACATCAAACTATGACAGGACACGTAATTGAGCACATTTTCTTAAGCGGTTCTTGTCATGCAATTGAAAAACTAGTTTTTTTATAAGGTGATCAGAGTAAGATAATCATGGGTGATCTAAAAGCTCCAACTATGATGAAATTAGTGGAAAGTCTGCTTTGATCGGTGAATTGACATTTTTCACCTCTTCTACTTACAAACCTTGCTTTGATGATATGCTTTAATAAATTTTTATTTATCCATGTAATTATTATTTTTTTCACCGGCTTCACCTATCTAATTATCAACATATATATAAATATATAACATCACTTGTTATTAGAAAACTATTAAGGATCCTATAAGAACATTAATAACAATTAATAACAATTAAAGACCTTATAAAAACATTAATAATAATTATAGACATTAAATTATTAAAATTTTAATTAAAAAATCTTAGTCCTTACTTGCAATTAAAAAAATATAAATATTTAATTGAGAAATCTACTAGCTATACTTGAAACTATTTATAGTGTTAATTAAAAATTTATGAATGGATTAGCTAGGGTTATACTTATCTCCATGTTGGAGCTATTTGCTTTGTTCTCACTTTTATAAAAGAAAATGTATAATAGCTACTGCCAAGGTTGCTTTGTTGGATTCCACCTTCAAATTATATGGTAACACCTTAATCAATGCCATGTTGATTATGGAAGCGTGGTTTAAAAAAAAAATCACTAAAAGAATTAAGTAAATGTATTTAAAATTATTTGTAATATTAGTTAAAAACTTATAAGAGTTAGTTGTGAATTACAAGTCAATTATTTATGATTTTTTACTTTTAATATATAGATAAATTATTTAAAAAATTTATTACATACACTTGAAATTATTTATATTTTTCTTAGACTTGTTTTATGTGGGCCCTTTTTTTTTTGTTTATGTTATGTTGTTGTGTGTTTTCTGTTTGACCCATCTATATTTCGGAGTTGGCTTCTCTCCATTTCCTTCTCTCTCCATTTCCTCTTCACTTTTTATCTGAACCATTGGATCTATTTTTGAATGGTTGAGATTTGATTTTTTATAAAATTATTATTATATTTATTTTTCATTATAATAATAATTTTATAAAAAATCAAATCTCAACCATTCAAAAATAGATCTAATGGCTTAGATGAAAAGTGGAGAGGAAATGGAGAAGAAAGGAAATGAAGAGAAATCAACTCCCTATATTTCTTTGGTCCTTTTTTTATATGGGACTAATGTTACATTGAATAAATTCCCCCCCCCCTCAAAAAAAAAAAAAAAAAGCTTCCTCTGTTTTATTTTTATCTTTTCCTCTAAGAGTATTTGGTTGGAGAAGAGGAGGGTAATTTTGCCCCTTCCCGTCAAACAAACTTTTCCTCTCCTACAAAGCCTCATCTCTAAACTGAGAGATTGGAAAGAGAGTGATAAAATTCATTACACCTTAACTAACATGTCTCTCATAATAAAATTAAAAGATGTAGATACACCTTTTGTAGTATTTTAACATTAATAAAATAAAAATAAAATTATTTATATATACTCATTATTTTTCCTTGACCAAATAAAATAATATCAAATTCCTCCACTTTTTTTTATTAAAATTTTTCTCCTTTCTTGGAACCAAACAAACCTTTATACTTTGTTTGGATGAGAAGAAAAATTGAGAGAAAAAAAATGAAAGAAAAGAAAATGAAAAGAAGAGAAGAGAAAATTAAAAAAAATATTATTACTCCTATTATTTGGATGAATAATAGAAAATAGAGAGTAAAGAAAATAAGCACATGACATAATAATAACAGTGCCCTTATATCAAAATATATTATATATCCTATGTTATTGTCTTAAAATAAATTGAAGGAAAAAATAAGATCATCTCAATATTTTAATATCAAATAATTTGCAAGATATATTTTTATTTAAAATTCAAAACAGATAAACATTTTTAAAATAAAATATAATGACCCGTAAAAAATTAAATTAACAATCAAGAAGATTAAGAAAAAAGGAAGACAATATTAAAATAATTTTTTTTAAAAAATCTGGCCACATGTGAAGAAAAAAATGTAAGAAAAAAAAGGTGGTGGAATCCACTTTTTATTTTTTTTATAATTTTTCTTTTCTTTTAATTTTTTCTTCTCAATTAAATAGAAAAAATATTTTTTTTTTTCTATTTTCCCTTTCTTTCCTCTCATAATCTCTTCCCAACCAAATAGGGGTTAGTTTCAGTTCGACGACGCTCACAGCATCACTCTCAGTTCAAGAATAAAATACAGCTATAACAATTTCATCTCTCTTGGATGAAACTCAGGTTCGATCATATTATTACCGTCATCTTCTTGGTCGTTGCTTAATATTGAGTTTGAGTGGTTTGAACTAGAACACCCTAGTCCACACTCACTCTCGACTCCTCTGACCTGTACTCTCATCTACCTCGCCAGTTGTGGCTGCCTTGTCTCTGTTCCCTGTTCTCGTACTCGGCATCCCTGGTTCTCTTCGTTTCAACTAGCACCGCTTGAGCAGTCTTCACTTCAAGAGCTTCCTTCTGTTCAAGCTTCTCTCTCGAGGTACTCTGCTGATGCGATGTTATAGATCTTGGGTTCTGCTTTACCCTTGAGAGTTGTGCCGTCCTTGGGTGGATTTCTTGCCATTTTCTCTTTTTCATCTCCAAATGTTTCTCTGTTCCTCCTGGGATTTGTCTGTTATTCAACTTTTACTCACATTCCGTCCACTAGTTTCCCTGTAATTCTGGTTCTTCCCAGCCTTTGTGCGGAGATAACCTTTGGGCCTTCAGTTCTGGTGGAGTTGATCTGTTAATTGCGTGTTCTTCTTCTAGGAAATGAGATTTGTTGGGTGATATATATGTTTTGCTTGCTTGTCTTCTTATTAGCTTCACAGCGTGGCAATCTGCATCTCTTTCCATGGCTTCTCCAAACTGAGCTTCTACAAACTCTATAAACATCCTAGGAGGTAAGTTCCCCCCCCCCCCCCTCGTGAATGTGTTACATGTATGCCTGAGTTCTTGGTGCTTGTTTTCCGCCTATTTGATTTTCATTGGCCAATTTGTGGTGTCTGCTGCCTCTTCTAATATTTAAAATTTCAGCTGATGTTTAAAAAAAAAAAAAATTCATCTCATTTCTCTAAATAAAGGCTGAGATTTTGAGCATTAGGGGGTGGTAGCAGAGAAGACAACAAATATCCGCGTTGTTTTTACGTTATATTTATAATACTTTTGTTTGATGTAATTTCTAGGAAAACACAGTAACAAGTTTGAGGAGATGGAGGATTCAACCAAAGGCGAAGTAAAAAATCCCAGACTTGAAGATCTTCGTCAACATCTCATCCACCACATGATGAATTTTCTCCCTTACTGGGACGCAACCAAGTTGAGTGTTTTATCCAAAGCCTTTTACTCTTTATGGCTTTCCTTTCCTGTACTTCGCTTTGACTACAAATTCTTTCAAGTAGAGAAAGACCCACATGACAACTTCAGGTCTTTCATCCTCAAAACCTTCCACCTTAGTTGCCCTCCCAAGTCTTTACAAAGGTTAAGCGTATTTTACATTGAAGGGTGTTCTACCTTCAATTTGGTATTTGATGCATTGCTGAACTTTGCAATAGAGAACAACACTAAAGACACAGCATCAATGTGAGATACGACTCGCTCCTTCATCTATTGTCTTCACAATGTTTGACTGTGCTCAATCTTGCGGGATTTATTGAGTTTCCAATTGCTGATCTTATCATACAGTGCCCAAGATTGAAATCAGTAGATGTGAAGGAGTGCAAAATGTAAGAGTTTCATCTTTGTCTCTAGAGAGGGCAAGCTTCAGTCATTGTTTAGAGTTAAAAGAAGTTCAATTGAAGGCAAAGAATCTATGGTATTGTTCTTTTTATGACATTCACAAGCCATGTGAAATTAACTTATCTGATTGTGAATCCATAAAAGATATGTATCTATATGGTGTAAGTGTCACAAAGAACTTGATGGAATTAGTCACTGGGAGTTTGATCATCAGTGGCTACTGTGGCTTTCCTGAGAACCTGCGTATTCATAGCCCTAGAATTAAAAAGTTGCAGCTGTTTAGAAATGCTAAACTGAAGAACCAATTTCTCTTGCTCCCAATCTAGAATATTTTTACGTCAATGTTTCTTTGGCAGTATACAGTATCTCTGAATGTGTGGCTCTCAACGTCCTGGACTTGTAAGCAGTAACTGTAACTAATGAGTGGGTGAAGAGTACAATATCAGACTTAGGTTGTCTGAAGGAATTAACATTATGTCATTCTCATATGTAGCTGAAAAATGACAAGCTTGAGAAGTTGTCATTGAGGGCATGTTTCAATTTGAAAGAGGTCATTGTTGATGCGCCAAACTTGCTAAGACTTCACTATGAAGAAGAACGAATATTCATGCATGTTTATCCGATCGTGAAAATCTTACCAACCAAATGCAGTTCTGCCAAAATCAAATTACCACCTTGCAAACAAATTATAGATACTCACTTATGGTTGGTAATATTATGCACTTTCTCTCTTGCTTTGATCACATCAAAGACCTTACTATTTTGAGCTCCAACGCAAAGGTACTAATTCATTTCTCTTTTTGCAATTTGGTCTGTTTAAGAATTATCTTCAAAATCTATTGAAGAAATGTGACTTTGTTAAGTCTTTGATCTTGGGAAGGCATGAGGTCTTTTGGTAATTCTTGGTATAATTTACGTTTTTAAAATTCATATATGTATATGAAATGATTAAAATATGTAAATTTTAAAAATAAAAAAGACTATCCTTCATTTGGCCCTTTTTTATTAACAAAAATTAGTATTTAATTTGAAATCTTAAGTTGGTTTGCTATTGTTCGGTTAATTTCCAGGATTTGACCTTCCCAAGAAAGTTTGTGAGAAATAATACCACTCCATTGCGTGATCTGAAGCATATTAGAGCACAAACTAAATATGATCCACGAAATCAAGCTATTATGATGAAATTAGTGCAAAGTTTGTTTTGGTTGGCTCATAAACCTTTGACAATTACAATCTCCCACTATTCCCCTACTAGCACCTTGAAGGTATGTTTATTGAACTTTTATTTACCGATCCGATTGTCAATCTATAACATCGTGACACTTTTATAGAGTTGAAACTTCCAATATATATACACACACACACACACATATATATAAACTGTCATTAGAAAACTATGGATCCGTATTCAATGAGTACAGTACAGTGTTCCAAATTCTCTCACCCTATCAGTGTCCCATGTGGTATTATATATACAATCAGACTGTGCTGGGAAGACCAATGATCACACAACTTCATTTGAGAAACTCATTTTTTATCATGTTTATTGGGAGGCTCATGAATGTTCTAATACTTGGATTGATCATTTCACAGCGTGTAGATGCAATTTTATGTGTCAACTCATCTTCCTTAAGGATATATTAGATTAGATAAAAAGCATTAATTGACATGGGTTTGAATAACATTGCGGTTTGAATATGATAAGAATGTGAAGAGGAGAAAGATTAAAGAGAGATGTTCGGAAATTCCTAGATGTGCAAAGGTTCGATTGTTCTATCTAACCCAAACAAGTCTAGTTTGGTTTGGTCTAGTAAAAAAAATTTGTCCAAATAACTAAAGAGACAAAAAAAAAAACTGTATTATTTTCTCAAGTTGGATCGGACAGTTTCATACCACTTGGTCCGGTCTGATTTTATGAAATTATTTTAATAAAATTTTAATTATTTTTAATATATTTAAATAGTTTGAAATTTGAACGCAGTATTTCCTTCATCCACATTTCACTCTTTTATTTAGTATATTTTTAATTTAGTTTGCTACTAAATTATTGTTGTAATGTATATTAGACATGTTGATGAAGTTTCTTGAATGTTGTTGTTACTGTTGTTGAAGTTATGAATTTGAATAATTTGAATTGTAATTAAAATATTTTTTTAGTTGTTGTTAGAGATTGTTATGAATTTTTTATGATTATAAATATTTTTATTATCTTAATTAAGTTTATTAGGATAAAATGTCTCATACAGAAAAAAAAAGCTAAGTGAATACTAGATTATTGGGACTAATCTCTTCATCTTATGAATTAAGTCTAGTCCTCTTAATCTTTAGGTTACAACTAAACTAAACTAAACTATAAGTTGCTTAACCCAATTTTTTTATAAAAGATACCAAACTTTGGGCTAGATCAAAGTCTAATGTTGTTCAGTTTTTTGTGCAGTCCTAATTACCAATAAGTGCTGGCTACACTCTAAACTCAAAGTGTCCAAAGCCTCATTGAATCTATGAGAAGCGACTTGGAAGAGTTATTTGCTCCTTCATTGGTTTTGATTTCCTTTATGTTTTAAACGTCAGCTTCCTTTGATAATTGTAATATGTTTCAAATGGTATAAGCATTAGTTTAAAAGGAGAACTTATAGAAACTAGCTTGTTAGATTGAACTTATACAACCCTATTTCACTTGTGACGTTTGCTTATATGGACTCATAACGTATTCATAGAATTGCTTTATGTAATTCATATATATATATATATATATATATAAACTTTATTGACAAAGTTAGTTGTCGCATGCAAATTGCAAGGGGCCCATCTATTCGACACATTTTAAGGGACTAAATCATGTTTAAATTTTGGGGAGGAAACTTTACTTTTTCCTTCATATTATATTTTTTTTTTCTTTTTGGTTAGAATTATAAGCGCATCAAACTATGTTCTTTAATGTGCGCGCGCGCACAGTAGTCCACAAATAATAATGAGTTATAAGCCGTCACATCACAATATTCTAGATGTGATTAGTTACATTGTTTTGGAACATTTATAATAAAATAAAATAAAAAATGAAGATGCTAATTTTAAAAAAAATAAATTTGAGTACACGGCGCTGCAGAAAAAATATTAGATTGGTTATTTTTGACACTGTAGAAACAATTGAGGAAGAAAGTAACACTCCAGTTTAAATCTGAACATCTTGCATAAGTTATTTTGGGCGCTCATCATGTAGAATGTATTTGTCTATATTGTTTGCTTAAAAAACTTATCCTGGATAAATTAAACAGCTGATTTACGTAAAGTGTTGCTAACTTTTTTTAACGATAAAAATGTGAATGGTAAAAAGCCTTTTTTTTTTTAACGACTGAAAGAAAATCTACTTAGATATTTCCAATCAAATGATGCTATGAAAGGTTAAAAAGAAAAAAGAAAGAAAGAAAAGTTAGGTGTTCAAGTTTATATATATTTAATGGTTTTTTTCAGTCAAATTAGGAAATGATGAATTTTATTTAGGGTTGGTGAGTTGGGCTTCAAGGTCATTTGATCCACTTAAACCACCTTATAATGTGAGTTGGATTGGATTGCAAATATTTCAATCCATTTTAAAAATAACCCTTGATCCACATAACCGGTAAAGTAAGTTGCTTTGGCAATTTTTTTAATAAATAAAAATTATATTTATTTTATATATAGAATTATACAGAATCTCGCTTGAGATGCTATTCTGGAATTCTAACTAAGTGATGGTGACACTATAAACTCGAAGTGAACATCCAATACTTCAAATCTGTGGAGCGATTTGGAAGAGTTCTTTATTTCTTATATGCATTGATTATGATTTCCTTTATGTTTCAAATGTTAGCTCATTTTGATGATAGTAATATGTTTTAAATGTTACAAGCACAAGTTTAAAGTAAGAGCTTGTGTCAGAAAACTAATTTATTGAGAGAGCTCTTTAAATTTATAAAATTTCATTTCACTTGTAGTTCCTGTCATGAAAATGAAAAACTTGTTCGTTCTTGTAAGGTGATCAATGTAAGAAGAAATGTATCATAACTACTTCATGAAACAAGAACTACCTCTATTCAGCAGTTAAGAGTGAGTGACCTAGTAAATAAAGAGGGTGAATGGAGCTTGGAAGAAATTGAAGCACAGATCCAGATAGGTGAAATCTGGGCAATTATAGATCGATTACAAGTCTACTGGACAATCATCATCATCACGCTGATCGATTAGGAATTTGTATTCCTCGTTATGTTGGTGACTGTAATAGATGCTGATCCTTGGGCTTTGCCCTTAAAGAACTGCCTCTATCGTTCCTTGAACTCTGTGTGTGTGTGTGTAGGGCAGGTCCACGAATGAGCTTGAGTTATAAGTTCCCACAATATTCTAGTTGTTCATTACATTTGTTTTGGAACATTTATAATAAAACAAAATTAAAAGTGAAGATACTAGTTAAAAAAAAAAATTTGAGTGCATACAGAGCTGCAAATCAAAAGGAATTTTACATTGATTTTTGGGATATAGCAACAATAACAAGTCTTATCTCACTAGGTGGGATCGGCTATATGGATTATATGACACCATTGTATTCTATAATTTATTAAAATTTTATAAATATTGTTAATTAAGACGTCTCGACCAAAAACTTTAAAAAATGTTCTCCTTAGCCTTTATCTATCCTTCTTAACAGAGTTTAAAGTTATTTGTCTCATTCTCCTCACAAGTGCCTCCCACATGGTCTTCTTTATATATATCCAAACCACCTTAAATAATTTTTTATTATTTTTCCTTCAATAAGTGCGACGCACACTTTTTCCCATATGCACTCATTTCTGATTTTGTCTTTATGTGTATGTATGCACATCTATCTCAACATTCTCATTTCTATTACTTAAACTTTATGCTCTTGCTGTCCTATTAAAGCTCAACATTCACTATCATACAATATTGCTAGTTATATAACAGTTCGATAAAACTTCCGTTTAAGTTTATATGGTACTTTAGATCGTAGATAACTCCTTTTGTCTTTCTCCAATTAAACTACTTACCTTATATCTTATGTGTAATATATCCATCAATTTCCCTATTATGTTGAATAATCACTCTTAGATATTTAAATTTTTTTACTTGAGGTATAATTTGATTATCTAATTTTATTTTCAAATTACCACTCACTAATCTCTTATTAAAATTACAATGTAGATATTTTATCTTACTCCTACTCAAACAAAAACCTTTTAACTCCAATGTTCTCTTTTATAACTCAAGTTCACAATTAATCTCATCTTTTGTCTTCACAATAAGAACTATAACATTCATCAAAAGCATGCATTTATGGATTTCCTCTTGAATATGCTCAGTCAAAACATCTAACACTAGATTAAACAAATAAGGATTCAAAAATAATTTTTGATGCAGTCCAATCTTTATAGGAAACTCTTTTGTTTCTTTGCCAGACATTCTTATACTAGTTGTTGCCCCTTCATGCACTCTTGTATAACTCGAATACAAGCAACTCAAACACTCTTCTTTTCTAATGCTTTTCAAAGTACTTCTCTCGATACTCGATTATAAGTTTTTTCCAAATCAATGAAAATCATATGTAAATATTTACCTTTGTATTAATACTTTTTCATTAATTTCTTTAATAGATAAATTGCTTCTATTGTCATCTTATCTGGCATGAAGTCGAACTTATTCTTAGAGATATTAGTTTCCAATCTCAACCTATGGTTAATCACCCTTTCCCACAATTTCATTTGAGTCATAATTTTTATCTTTTTGTAGTTAACACAATTTTGAATATCCATATTATTTTTTTGTAAATAGGAACTTGTCAAGCATTCTCTTGGATTGTAAGATCTCATTAAATAATTTAGTTAACCATCACACCCTTTCTTCACCCAAATATTTTCACACTTCAATAGGGATATAATCAAGTATATTAGCTTTACTATTTGCTATTTTCTTAAGTGCTTCCTTTGTCTCCCAATCTCATATCATTTGATAAAATGACAAATTTTGTTCTCTTTCAAGAATTACTAAATCCTCCAAATTAATTGATGAATTGCCACCATTAAAAAGTTTAAAAAAGTAAGTTTTTCATCTGTCTTTAATATCACCATTCGTGACCAAAATCTTACTTGTTTCAAATCTCTTGATTTTCTTTGCTTACTCTTTGTAATCTTATAAATATTTTGATCTCCATCCTTTGTTTAAAGACCATTGTAAAACTCTTCAAATGTTTTAAAATGAGCTTCACTCACTGCCTTTTTAGTTTTTCTTTTAGCCATATGATATATTTCTCAATTTTCACCATTATTGCACAAATTGATGGCTTTAAAACACTCCTTCTTATACTTATTTTTTTTTGTACACTATCATTTCACCACCAAGACTTCTTATCTCTCAAACCAAAACCCTTTGATTCTCCCAAAACTTTTTTTGTAACCTTCCTTACCTTCCCATCTATATCCCCCCACAAGATGTTAGCACTTTCTCGAGACTCTAAAATTTCTTCAGCCAAGAGATTTCGCTTGAAAATTTCTCGCTTTTCATTTTTTAATTCTCAACATCTAATTGTTAGAGTTATTACTTGTCAATGCTTTTGGTTTTGACTCATAATATACACATCAAGGATAAGGACCCATTGTTGTTTCATTATAGCATCCTCATAAATTACCTTACAATTTTTACAAATTCTTTTATCAGTGTTCCATACCAAAAAGAAATCAACCGGTGATCTTAAGGCTCTAATTTTATAGGTGATGAGATGCTCATTCTTTTTCTTAAAACAAGTGTTAGTGATCTTGAAATCATATGCCAAAGAGAAATCAAGAATAAGTTGTCCTTCATTATTTAGCTCTTTAAAACCCAAACCATCGTGCACCTTTGCATAATGACCTGCCTCCCTCTTGACATGATCATTAAAGTCTCATCCAATGAAAATCTTTTCATTATGTGGTATGTTTTAGATCAATCCTTCCAAATCTTTCCAAAATAATTTTTTAAGGCCAGCTTCTATCCCAACTTGAGGTGCATAAGTGCTAATAATATTGATAGTCTCACGTCCAACAATCATTTCTAAAGAAATAATTCTGTCTCCAATTCTATTAATTTCTATCACATTTTGCTTCCACTCTTTATCAACAATGATACCCATCCCATTACGTGTGCTTACTTTTTCAATATATTAAAGTTTGAAATCTTGAATATCCTTACCTTGTTCACCGAGCCATTTAGTTTCTTGCAGGTACAAGATATTAATTTTTCTATAAATCATTACTTTTACCACCTCCATAGATTTATCAATCAAGGTCTCAACATTCCAAGTGCCAAATCTAATCTTGCTCATACCGACTAACTTTTTCAGCCGTGCTCGTCCAGAATAACACAATAGCCCTTACTCATTTAACATTACATACTAATGTTGATGCAGAGGCCCTAACTCAATTGTCACTAAACTCGAGCCATGCAATTCATTACTTACGGGCATTGATCTAGTATTAGCACAAAAATATCTATTATTCATATCCACGTGAGATTCAACAAAGTTTTACATTAGCTGTTAGGCTTAATAC